GGAGTGAGTCTGGGGAAGCGAGAGTAACAGGTGAGGCGGTCAGACAGGTCATGGGAGCCACATCTGGAAGGGCCTTACAGGCCGCTGAGATTCCTCATAAACTTCCTTCTGAAAACTTCAACTTGGCCTGCCCTGAACTTGGGGAAGGGATGGCATCTCTTCTTCAGTTAAGACCTGGGAGAGCAAATGGGGGCACCAGGCACTTGGCCACAGCTGTCTTCTTCCTGAGTGTCCCCCATCTAAGAAGCCTCTGGCAGATGGGAGTGGGGGTGGGGGTGCTGAGCCCTGCTCCCAGCACAGTGTGGTCACACCCTCTTATCTGGTCATCTGCTTTAGACAGGAGTTCTCTCCCACACTCACCAGCCAACAACCCTTCCACACCACCATGGAGTCCTCTGCAGATAAAATTAGCCTCCCACAGTGGTGCTGATGGTGGCATTTTGGGCACAGGGGCAGACCAGTGGGAAGCTATTAGATAGGAGTGACTTCTGAGGCTGCCAACCTGCCCAGGGCCTGCCTCAAGGCCGAGGTTTAATCACTCAGAGGGTACTGCCAGTTAAGCCTCTCTGGTCTGCAGGGTTTGGCTATAATTCATTCAGTTGCAAGTCCCCAAACCCAACTCCTACTAGAAGAGGAAGAGAAGGAGGAAAGAAAGAAAGAGGAAGAGATGAAGAAGAAGGAAAAAGGGGGAAAGGAGGTGAAGAGGAGTTGGTGGTGATATTGATTCACGAAACAGATGTTCTACGGGTGACTTCATTGGCTTCAGGAATAACTGGATATAGGTGTCATCAGTTCTTTCCCTCTCTTTCCCCCCTCATCACCTGCTTTTGCTCTCCCCTGAATGGGCATCATTCTAAAGTAGGCTTTCTTTAAATAATGGCCACTGGTAGGCCCAGACTTATTTTCTACTCAGCTTAGCCACCCTGGCAGAAAGAGAATCTCTTTTTTCCAACAATTTGGAAAAAAAAAACCTTGTAGGGTTCTCATTGTCCAGGCATGGGTCATGTGCCAGCCTGGTAGCCTGGGGTGCTGTCAGTGCCACCAAACCTATTGCCTGAGGGTAGGGGTGGGGTGGTCCCCAAAGACCAGTTGAAGTATTGCCAGAAGAAGAGAGAATAGATGCTGGGCACACAAAACCCCTCAGATGTCCACTATCACTGGGTGATCATATAACTTATTGTCTAAGCCAGGACTTCGAGAGTGAAAGAAGGCACTTTTAATACTTACACCATGACAACAGGCTTAGACCAAGACTATCCTAGGAAAATACTGTCACCCCAACTATAGCAGCCAAGAGCCAGGGAGCTGGGGGTGGGGTGGAGGGCTGTCCCATCTGGGCCCTGGATCCTGAAAACCAAATCTCTCTGGCTCTTTGCGCACCAGTAGGAGAGGGAAAGGTGCTCAGGATTCAGATCTCGAGTGGGATGGAGGGTAGCTAGGCGGGGTGAAGACACATTGGGGGCCAGTCTCAGTTCTCTACATCCATTCAAACTCCTCTCTTCTCAAACTGCCTCACCCTACCTCCTACTTCCATGCTTTGTTCTTGTTATATCTCTTCCCTGTGTCAAGAATGCCTTTCCTACACTCTTCATGCTCCATGGCTCTTCTCCAGTCCTCCACTCTCCTAGAGTCCCTTGACCTGTCCCCCTCCCCCACTTCTCACAGCAACTGTAGCATTTCCAGATCCAGCACAGGCTATGTTTGGGGTGTGGTTCCTGTCTCCACAGTGGGGTTGAGTTTTGTTGTGAGTTTTGCTATTTCCCCACCCCCTGCCACATAGCCTTCAGCAGTGCTGACTGAAGAGTAAGCCTGATCACTCTGGGGGGTTGTCTCTATCCCTCTGGCCCATAGCCCTCTCTGCCCCCACTGCCCCCTGCCTCTGTGTTCCCTGTATTGATCGATAGGGAATCAGTTAAAGAGCTTCTCACGCAAAGGCATGCAAACTTTGACCCAGGATTGGCTCTTCAGCTCCCGGCCAAGGTCCTCTTACCTCCTGTATGTCTCCCTCTTTCTCTGCTCAGTGTTCCTGAGGACCCCCTCCATCCTGTGAGCTGTTACAAGGCTTGGTGAGAAGTACAATGCCTCCTGTAACCCCAGTTCATCAGACTCTTGTCCAGGAGTATGGGGGGATGGGGGGCTCTGACTCAGGGGCTGAGCCTGTCCACCTTTGGCTCCCTGGGGCTTTGCTGGCAGTCTGGGACAATAAATCATGGTGGGAAGAGCCCTGGCCTAGAAGTAAGAAGCTAGAGCTCTAGGCTCTGCTTTGATTTCCCAAGTGTCCTTCAGCCTTCTCCTGGTGGTATCAGTCTCTCCAGCTGAGAAATGGAAGAGGAATTGGCTTAATTAGCTAATGAATTTCTTTGGGGTGCAGAGCCTCTTAGAGAATGTGAGCAAAGCAATGTATCTTCTACCAATCGAAGGGGTTTTCTGGGTCCCTGCTTAGGAACCCCAGTAGATGGTCTTCCAGCCTTGATGAGCTGGTTGCCATGATTCTCTAGAGCTCCGGCATTGATGGGGACCCTGGGAAGCCGAGGAACAGACTGGGCTGCAGAGCAGGATGAGGGATCTGTGAGTGCCTAGCTCCCCAATTCCTTGCCACAGCTTCCATACGGTTTCTTTCTACTTCTGTGGCTCTAGCTCTAGCTGGGCCTGCAAAACAGACCTCTGGGGTATCACGAAGCTCTGTGGGCTGAGTCAGAGATGTAGAGGTTGGGATGAATGGAGCAATGCTGAATGGAATGGAAGCCCAGCAATAGCTTTTTTGTCCCCGGCCTGTTCTGTTACCTAAATTCCACCATTTATAATCAGCATTTTGGGCTCAGCATTACCCTAGTCATGTGCCCCATCCTTACACAGCTGGATTTAACTTCTTTACCGGTTATTAATATCTTGCAAGGACTTGGCTTATCAGATCAATTTCCCATAGATTTTCTGTGTTCAGGTATGGAGGAAGGAGTAACAGTTTGGGTCTAAGTCATAGCAAGGGTCAAGTGTCCTGAGAATTAGCATAGGCAAGTGCTGGAAACATAGACCAGGAGACACCTAACTTGCTGTGGAGAGGATTCAGGGGGAGCTGCCCAGAGGAAGTGGTGCTTTAGCTGAGACCTAAAGTAGGGAACATTAGAAGTAGTGGTGGGCAGGCCTGGTAGGTTCTGCTAGATTCTGCTTTCTATTCAGATGGAGCTACTGAAAGGGCAAGGTGGTGATGGGTTGAGAGTTTGCATTTTTGAAAATACCCCTTTGGATACCACGGGGTGGAGAAAGAATTGGAGGGAATGACAGGCCAACAGGAAGTAGGTCTGGAGGCTGTTAGTACTCTAGGGAGCAAGCATGGGGGCCTAGATGAGGATGTGGCAGTGGAGTTGGACAATGTCAGAGTAACGTGTCCTTGCCCCTTCAGTCTATTCTCAGCACAGCAGCCAGTGACCGTCATTGACTCAGACCCCATAATATCTCCATCTCACACAGAGGTAAGTCCCATGTTTCTCAATGGGGCGCTCCCTGCACCTAAGGCAGGGCTATCTTCCATGAGTATCTCATCCCCTGGGGACACTAATTTCCAGCAAAACTCCCTAGTCAGAAGACCCCTGCACATTTCCAGTGCCCCTGGTACTGCTCCCTCCTTCAAGGATCATGGTGCAGGACCTTTGAACTTGCTGCTCCCTCTGCCAGGTGCACTCTTCTTCCAAATATCTGTGTGCGATGATTCTTGATTCCACACTCATGTTTCTGCTCAGTGTCATTTCCAAGGGAGGACTTCTCTGACACCCTATCTTGAATTGCAATCTGCCTCCATAAGATTCCTACCCCTTCTCTGCTTTGTTTTTCTCTGTAGTACGAATCACTCTCTGACAGTCTCTGTGAATTACATGTCACCAGAATAGGATGTAAGCTCAATGTGAGCAGGAGGGTCAGTTTTGTTACTTGCATATCAATCACCAGCGTCTAGAACAGTGCCCGGCACATAGTAGGCATTTGGTAAATATTTGTGCAATGCATGAGGTGGTACATGACTGGAGTGAGGTGAGGGAGCAGGATGAGGCTGTTTTCTGGCCTGGGCCAGCAGATGGATGGCGGTGCCATTCGCTGGGCTGAGGAGAGCGGCGTGGGGGTAGGTGATATGGTTAGTTGGGGACAAGTACAGCTAGACACGCAAATAGGGTTTTTTCTGCCACGCTATCCTATACCGGGAAGGCTCGGCAGGCACCGGGACAGCGTTGGAGGCGAGCCGGGCGGCGCTGGGGCTGCGTGTCCTGACACAGGCGTGGACCCAAAATACGGACACACGCAGGCACCCGCTCGCAGGCACAACCCTAGCTCCGCACGCAAACTTGGGCCCTTTGCACCGCCCCCCCCCACACCCATTCAATTGCACGCCCTTGAGGCTCCACCCTCACCTTCACGCCCTAGCTCCGCCACAGTGGCCCTTTAAGAACCCCGCCCCCTGACTCCCCTCCTGCTTTGCGTGACTGCTAGGACCGGACCTGGGCCCGGGAGTTGGGCGGCTGAGTGGCTGCGCGGGCCTCCCGGCCCTTGTCACGCTACTGCTGGGCACCGCGCCCCCGGCCCGGTGGGGCGGGGGTGGACTGTGTGACCTCCGCTCCCTGGAGGAAGGTTCCAGACGCGTGCACGCTAACCTGGGGAGGCATCTGTGCCGCGCCCCCCCCCACCTTGGTCCCTGGGCCCCCTCCCTTGCCCGGCACGAGGGCCTTCCTTTAACCCTTTCTTTGGCAACCGGGAGCTAGCCACGCAGCCCCCCTTGTCGCCCGATTTTTCTGCCCAGCCAAAGCGCTAGCAACCCCGGGAGCCAAGAGGGAACCTGGAGGGCGGGTGAGTCCTGGCTGGAGGTACCCCTGGTTTGCAACATTCGAAAGTGGCCCTAGAGGCTGCGCCGAGCTGCTAGTGAGCGCTCGGTGAGACTGCACGTTCTCTATCTATTCCCGATCCTAGGTCAGGAGCGCGGACTTCTGCTAGCTGCCTGGACCCTGGGGGCTTCGGGTGGGGGAAGGGGCAGCCCATCGGCGCCTCTGGCCTTCCGGCCCCGGTGACCTCGAGGCAGGGGTCGCCGCGCTTCTCACGCAAGCCTGGATTCAGTAACCCGGGGGTAGGAGATCATCACACGGCAGTCCCTCCCTGCCTGCCTGGCCCTGGTCCCCTAGTAGTTAGGGGGAGGCACTTGCACGCCCAGTCTTCCAGTGGGTGTAAAAATGAGGGTGAGGGGTCCCCGTGCCCGGAGATGGAGGTCCTCCATACCCTCTCTTCTGGCTGTCCTGGGACTTCTCCCTAAACCCCCTCCTCAGCTGGCCTCTGCGCTGTCCATGGGGTACGTTGGAACTGGGGATCCCAGGTGTCCCCAGCCCTCGCCCCTATATGTGCCGGCACTTGGATGAGGCGACTCCATAGTGGGTTCTCACCTGTCTCCGTGCGTCCCCCCTCCTCCACTTCCCCTCCACCCTAGAGCGACCATCCTCCTCAGGCCGCCCCTCCCTCGGTTCCATCCCAGCGCCAAGGGGCGTGGCCACGCCAGTAAACCGCCTATAAAGGTGGCAGTGCCTTCACCCTCGCCCTGAAGGTGACAGTTCCTTGGAGCCTTCCCTGATCTTCTTTGGGGTCCCTGGCTTCAGAGACCATTCTTCCCAGCTCAGCAGCACAGCCACAGGTGAGTGCTGGCGGCTTCTGGCTTGCCCCTTCCCTCCCAATAAAAGGAACATTTTGATACCTCCAGGTCTTTCTAGGCAGTCACTGGTCTAGCTCCTCGAAAATGAAGGCTAAGAGTGGCCCTAGTGGCCCTAGTAGTCCAGTTCCCTAGGGAAAAACTGAGGCCATGGGAAGGGCAGGACTTGCTCAATGTCCCACAGCTAGTGCCAGAACTCTAGATGTAGATGGCCCCCTTCTCAGGACCCAGGCTCCAGCTCTACCCACCACTGACTGTCTGAATGCCTTGGGCCTTCTCCATCAGGGTCACCTGGGAGGCTGAAATAAGGACACAGCTTCCCAAGCTGGAAGCATGTGCAGCCCCTCCTCAGGCTGTGTGATAAGGGGGGCTTCTCCCTGGATGGTCAGGATGAATGGAGAAAGCAGGTTGGATTCTTACCAGCTGTACCTGCCTTATCTAAAAGCTAGCCCTGGCTGGCTCTACCCTCCCAAGGCATGACTTGTCAGAGCCTAGATGTGCTGACCAGGACAGGAAAAGCTGATCTGAGCAGGAGTCTGGGCATGCTGCTCAGAGGCCTTCCATATCCCCTCAGCTGCCTTCTCTGTCCTCTGCTGGGGAGCAATCAGTGTGAGAGACTGTTAGCTGATGGGAGCTGGACCACCAGTCCCTGAAAACTCAACTAGTCACATCTCTCTTGGCCTCCTACCATCTTACTAAGGCTAGAGATCCTTGGGGCACCCACTGTGTGGAAGGGGACACCATGGCATACCAAGGCCTAGCAGCGTCCCCAGTTCACTCAGGGAGTCAGGGCTTTGTATGTATGCTTTGGGATCCGGCTGCTCCAGGAAGCCTCCGTAGACAGATGGCTATAGTACTTGAGGTAGGAATCATACAACCTCCCCGTCTTGGGAGCTCTCCTGTGGGGAAACCTCACTAGTCAGACTGTGAGATTCCCAGGTCAGAGCTCTGTTTTCTCTTCTCCGAGATCTAGCTGGGCACCCTGAATCAGAGATTACATCCCACTCCCTCTCTCAGGTGATATAACTGGAGCCCACAAAAGTAAAATGACCAGTCCAAGGCCACTCCATGGAGCCTGGAACAATGGATCTCCTGACCTCCAGTCCAGGGCACCAGGAAGATGTCCCAGTCAGGGCCAAATGTCTTGGAGAGAGTAGTCCATGAATCTGTACATCCTTTATAGACCAAGTCTAGAAAGTATTGTCTCAGCCTCAGTTAAGTTCCGATCCATTCCTAATTTCCCTTATACCAGTCTGGAGTTTTCTTGCAGTCCTGCCCTGGTGGGAATCTTCCAGTTAGTCTCTGTTTTCCCATGACTGACAAATGGGAGAGATCCAGACTATTCATTCATTGAGAATTGAGCCCAACAAAAACCCTGGCCTGGATTTCCGTGACTGGGAGCCTCAATCTAGCTGGTCTCCAGCTGCTTTTAAACTGTGGGTCAGTAGAACTCAAGAGAGCTGGGGCTGAGAGCAGTGTGGTTTTGGTAGTGGTCTTCCCATCCCCTGTACCCTCCCCACCCTGTCCCAGGGTCTGGCAGGATTTCCTAGACCCTGGGGTTGAGCAGGAGAGAACTAAGGGTTCTGGGAGAGTTCCTTTTCATCTACTGATCTGCCCACTCTTCAAATGGAGGTAGCTTTGACCAGCATGCTGACACTTCAGAACATTGGCTCCTCCCAACCCCCCATCTTATGTCTTGATCTTTCCCTCCTGCCCAGCTCTCAGCAGCTACCTTACCATCTGTATGCTGATCATGTTTTCTGTGTTCGGACTCACCATCCCCATCTCCGCCACCAAGCTTCTCCTGACCTCTGCCATCTTCTGTCTGGTATTCTGGGCAGTCAGGGCCTGGCGGCCTCGGGTCCCCAAAGGCCTGAAGAGTCCACCGGGGCCCTGGGGCTGGCCCCTGCTCGGGCACATGCTGACCTTGGGGAAGAGCCCTCACCTGGTCCTGTCACAGCTGAGCCAGCGTTATGGGGATGTGCTGGAGATCCGCATTGGCCGCACGCCCGTGCTGGTGCTCAGCGGCCTGGACACCATCCGTCAGGCCCTGGTGCGGCAGGGTGATGATTTCAAGGGCCGGCCTGACTTCTACAGCTTCACCCTGATCTCTGATGGTCAGAGCATGACCTTCAACCCAGACTCTGGACCAGTGTGGGCTGCCCGCCGGCGCCTGGCCCAGAATGGCCTGAAGAGTTTCTCCATCGCCTCAGACCCGACTTCCTCATCCTCCTGCTACCTGGAGGAGCATGTGAGCAAGGAGGCTGAATACCTCATTAGCAAGTTCCAGGAGCTGATGGCTAAGGTTGGACACTTTGACCCCTATAGGTATGTAGTGGTGTCAGTGGCCAACGTCATCTGTGCCATGTGCTTTGGTCGGCGCTATGACCACGATGACCAAGAGCTGCTTAGCATAGTCAACCTGAGTAATGAGTTCGGGGAGATAGCTGGATCCGGAAGCCCGGCTGACTTCCTCCCTATCCTCCGTTACCTGCCCAACCGTGCCCTGGATACCTTCAAGGACCTGAATAAGAAGTTCTTCATCTTCATGCAGAAGATGGTTAAGGAACACTATAAAACATTTGAAAAGGTATAGGCTGGGGAGAGGCAGGTGGGTGGTGGGAAGCAGGTAGGGTCGGGGGTCAGGAGGTCAGAGATAACTGCACCAGCATGGGGTTTGGCAGGCTCAGGGGCCTCCACCCTGGCATTTTGAAGCCAGTAGTGGAGGGGACTCTATTTATGGTAGGGAAATAGAACTTTTTCTTGACCAGTCTTTCTATCCTGTTTGACAGCAGTATTTACCAAATAGTCAGCCCTTGCAGGACTCTAGGCCAGTTGTGGGGAGCGGGAAGAGCTCAAAAGTCCTTCTCCTGGCCCCATGAGAGAGAAAAGAGTAAAGAGTACATTCACATGATAATGGTACCAAACTCTGTGTGTCAGGTGTCCCTTGAGTTGGGGCTACCAGCATTCTAAGGCAAAAGAGAGCCTTGGACAGGCAGAGAGAAGCTAGGATGGCAGCTTTGGAGGTGGGGGGAGGTCACCTCTTGAGAAAAGGTGTTAGGAATGGTGAGGGACCAGGCCTAGATGGAGAGGTAGGTCTGGGTTTGGGATCTTGTTCACCTGTGGGCCTTCCCTTACCCAGGGCCACATCCGGGACATCACAGACAGCCTGATTGAGCACTGTCAGGACAAGAGGCTGGATGAGAATGCCAATATCCAGCTGTCGGATGCGCAAATTGTTAATGTCGTCTTGGACCTCTTTGGAGCTGGTAAGAGCTACCACACTGTGCCTTTCCTGTACCCAACTGCCCTGACCCACCAACCACCTAACTTTTCTTTCTGTTCTCTGCTGGCCAGGGTTTGACACAGTCACAACTGCCATCTCCTGGAGCCTCCTGTACCTGGTGAGAAGCCCCAGTGTACAGAAAAAGATCCAGGAGGAGTTAGGTAGGTGGTGGCCTCCTTCAAAGTGCTCAAGGCAGGAACCTGGCTTGAGGTTTGGGAGGCTCCTTCATGTCTGGTCCTTTGTGCTTTGCAGACACAGTGATTGGCAGGGAGCGGCGGCCCCGGCTCTCCGACAGACTCCAGCTGCCCTATATGGAGGCCTTCATCCTGGAGACCTTCCGACACTCCTCCTTTGTCCCCTTCACCATCCCCCACAGGTGAGGTCCCATGGATCCACTGCTGTCTGATACTGGGCCTTACTTCATTCCATGTACCTGATCAGGGCTGGTGGGAGGAACGTGATATGGGAGGCAGGGAAATCTTGTGGCCCTGAGCTTGACTGAGCTTCTTCCCTCCCCAGTACAACCAGAGACACAAGTCTGAGTGGCTTTTATATCCCCAAGGGGCGTTGTGTCTTTGTGAACCAGTGGCAGATCAACCATGACCCGTAAGTTGAAAGGGGGCAGCCGAAATTTCACCTTCTTCCGAGCTTTAGACCTAGCAGGGTCTAAGGGAGACAGCATCCTGGCCACTGGCCTACCCCCTACTCCTTTGGGCTGGGGTGCAACCCATTAGATGCTTCTGAGCCTTCAGGCTGCCTCCCTCTGATTACAGAAAGCTGTGGAACAACCCATCTGAGTTCCAGCCAGAACGGTTTCTCAGCCCCGATGGCACTATCAATAAGGCGCTGAGCGAGAAGGTGACTCTGTTTGGCCTGGGCAAGCGGAAGTGCATTGGTGAGACCATTGCCCGCTTCGAGGTCTTTCTCTTCCTGGCCATCCTGTTGCAGAAGGTAGAATTCAGCGTGCCACCAGGCGTGAAGGTGGACATGACCCCCATCTATGGGCTGACCATGAAGCATGCTCGCTGTGAGCACTTCCAGGCTCAGGTGCGCTCCTAGGACACTGAGAGCCCTGAACCCTGGACTCTGTCTTCCTGGCCCAGCTGCCCAGGCAGGCCATGGGGCTGACCTTGGGAGGTCTAAGCTTTGGCCTGAAACCCACAGATATTGGCCTGGCTGATTTTTTGCTGCCTGGCTGCAAGCAAGCCTGAGGGATCGTGCCTGCCCCCTACCATGGACTTTCCCCTCTGCATACTGACTGCAGACAGTTGACACTGCAGGGGCCACACAGGAGTTGATGGCACCTTCTGAAGTAGTGCTTGAGATAGGAGGCCTGTAGGGTTGGGAGGTTCTCAGGCCTCTGGAAACCTCTGAGGACCTCTCTGGAAGCCCCTCTCTGGCTGGCTCTCTGTCGGGGCTGACTGGCTTGAGAAACATTGAGAACAACCCAACCAAGATCTGTCCAATCTCTTTGCCAATTGGGAACCATCAAGAGTGAAGGGAAGAGGCAGCCCAGGAGACTGGCACAGAGGTGGTCTCCCCACTTAGACAAAGCCAAGCAATCTGATTACACTGGTCTGAGACCCTGTGCCTGTGGGGATTGACTTCCTCTCTACAGGCAGCAACAGAGCTGCCTCCTGGCCTTGAAAGGCATTGTTTCTGTCCAGGAGGAGCAAGGGGCTGTGTCTTAGAGGAGCAGAGAGCAGAGGCACCAGGACCAGGTCTTGAATGAGGGGTGGTAATTCAGTCATCTTCTACTGGTCTCCTTTCTCTATGCCCTGTATTAACATGTCTTTTTAAAACATTTGTATGCAAGGAGCTTTTCATTTTAACCAGCATTTATACTTGCATGTTTGCGTTTATCATGTAAGCACTTAAGAACAATTTATTGAATGCAATAGAGAAAATTCATACCCATACATCCAGAAACGTGTAAGAAACATCTCCCTGAACTAAATAAAGACATTATCCAGAAGTCCTATAGGTGGAGATTTCTTTCTTTTTTTTTTTTTTTAAAGATTTTTATTGGGGAATTGGGGGAAGGGGAACAGATAAGTTGCTATCCTTTTGTTCTTCAGTCTAGTTGTAGAGGAAGTTGCTTTACTGGCCCAAGTTGGCACCATCATTGCGCTCTTCCCGGGCGAGGCAGATCAGTCGCCGGCTTCTGGAAGGCCGCTCACAGTGGCCTTATTTACTTAAATACGCTGGCTGCTGGCTACACAAAATAGCCCATGGCAGCCACTGCAGCAGGGGCTGTAGCCTATGCCGTCGCCGGCGACTCACGGCAGCCCAGCTCCAGGTTGAGCTGTTGTTCAACATCTCAGCTGTAGAGGGCAGTGTCACTGGCCCTCATATGTGGGATCTGAACCGGGGCCCTCTGGCATCCCAAGCCAGCTCTTAACCAACGCGCCACTCGGCCGGCCCTAGGTGGAGATTTCTGAATCGTGAATGAAGCTATCACTCATTTACATCCCCACCCCACGCCCAACCTTGTGTCGTTTCACTGTGGGAAGAGGAGGAGGTGATGAGGTGAAGCCATCACTCTCTGGCCACTCACAAGCGGGTTGGGATGCCTTCCTCCCTCTCTAACTGATCACATACTGATGGGCAGCACTTTCTGGACCAGGCACTAGAGGAAAAAGTGAATAAAACATGGTCCCTCCCTTTGAGAGCCTCCCAAGTTGCTTGGGGAAATCAACTCAAACACATCCTCCTACTCATTGTGATCGGGGCTCTACCAGGCAGATACTTGCAGGAGGGTGAGCCCCAGAGCCGGAGTGGGTCTGGGTGGGTAGGGGTGAGGGTGCTGGGAAAGGTTGCTGGGTCTTGGGGACAGCTGTGCCATGAAGGAAGAGAGGCTGTCTCACTTGGGTCCAACAGGTAGGCTCTGGTGAGTGTAGGGGGAGGAACGGTTCTCAGCTCAGAGTTGTAGTCTGTTCCTTACTAGTCACACCTGGCTCAGGCCCTGCAGCCACATTAGAACCCAAGGCAGGTCACAGAGGGAGAACAAAGCCTTTGATTGTTGGGCCCCATAAGCAGAATGTGGCCCCGATTTCAAACCTGAAAGCCCCTGTCCATCCAGGATGGCAGAGAGTGGTGCCAAGTAGGGGTAGAGTCTAAATCCACATAGCTAGGAGCTGTTCTGACTAAGGGATTAAAGGGAGATGCATCTAGGGATGTGACACCCAGCCCAGATTTTTTCCTGAAGCTTTGTATAGTGACCAGCAGTTACCATTCGTGCACCGTGCTTTCTGGCAGGGGTAGATAGCTCCCACTCAACAAGGGTTTCAGGCCACTGCAAGAAATGAGCTAGCTAAAGTCAGTGGGAGCACCCTCTTTATGTAAGGAGATGAGAAATTTGACACCCAATCATTCTTGTACTAATTTATTATTTACTTTAAAAATAACTCATATTATATGCTATAATACAGATGAACCTTGAGAACATCGTGTAAGTGAAAGAAGCCAGACACAAAAGGCCACATATTGTATGATTCCATTTATATGAAATGCCCAGAACATACAAATCCATAGAGACAGGAAGTACATTAGTGGTTGCCAGGGGATGGGGTGGAGTGGAGAGAATAGAAGGTGCAGGGTTTCTTTCAGGGGTGATGGAAATATTCTGGAATTAGATAATGGTGATGATTGTATAACTTCTTCAATATACTAACAACCACTGAATTATGCACTTTACAATGATTAAAACACTAAAGAAAGAAAAAGTTTGCCAACCATTTTTTTCTTTCTTCTTTTTTTTTTTTTAGAGTAAGGAAAGTTTTTTAGGATACAGTCTAAGGGAAGAACTGGCCAAGTCAAGAGAGACAACTGTTTTTCTAAAACAAAAATGTGAGAGAGGAATGGGGGTCGCATATGCACGATAATTTATGTAACTGTTCTCAGTAATCATATTGGTAATGATAATATTAGTATTTTTATTTTGATACTATAGTGTAATGTTGGATAAAACAAATAAGTAAATAATGAGACTATTCTAATTCATCATCCTCTGTATCCTTGAGAACCATAATTTTTGGTATAGAAAAAAAGGAGATACAGGGGCAGCCTGGTGGCTCAGTTGGTTAGAGTGCATGCTCTTAACAACAAGGTTGCCAGTTCGATTCCTACAGGGGATGGGTGGCTGTGCCTCCCTTTGCAACTAGATTGAAAACAGCGACTGGACTTGGAGCTGAGCTGCGCCCTCCACAACTAGGCTGAAAACAACGACTTGACTGGAGCTGATGGATCTGGAAAAACACACTGTTCCCCAATAAAGTTTAAAAAAAAAGAGATACAGATGTAATACAGAAAAGGGTAAGATAAAAAATGTAGGACAATTTGAGTGTGAGTAATAATAATTTCATTGATTAAATCCCATCAAATATGTTTCTATCTATGAGTTCATAAGGATATTTTTAAAAATTAGCTGGATACCTTCAGAGGAACCAATTCATTCTCTTGAAAAGTGAAAAACCAAGGTGAAAACCAAGTGTTTATTCTGCCTTTCCTACATGAACTATACCTATAGATGACTAACAGTAAATAAGAAGTATCTCTTAATAAAAGTGTTCCAATTAATAAAGTAAAAAGAAATAATAGAATTAGAATGTCACTATTGTGTAGCCACCAATAAATTAATGGATCTGGGCATGGCACCCAACAACTGCTAACATCATAGAAACAGAAAAAAGCAGGCTTCTTGATGAAAGAACCCAACACTGCCTACGATGTTGCAAGGGATTGAGCCAGAACTGTACCAAACCATGGGATCCAGCTGCCAATTTGCAATAAACCCAGAGAATAAAGAAACATGCTGAACAGAAAAATAAGTGTGCAATCAGTAAAATTCAGACTTTAGGAAACTCTAGGTCTAAAGGCTTAGGTTCTTCAACAGAATAATTGTGGGGAAAAGAAAGGGATGGAGGAGAAACTTGTAGATTAAAAGAGACTTAAAAGATGTATCAATTTTTTTTCTAAGATTTTTATGGGGAATTGGGGGATGGGAACAGAGCTGGGGAATTGGGGGAAGGGGAACAGACAAGTTGCTGTCCTTTTGTTCTTCAGTCTAGTTGTGGAGGACGTTGCT